ATTACCCACATAATGGTCCAGAAATGACAAGCACTATCTTATTGCACATTAGAGCTTATTTGGACACACTTCTAAAATGAGCTTGGAAACACTTCTCCTATGGGCTTTTGGATATAAAAAAATCTATTTGGATAAATATAATGTTTGGTGCTAAATTAAAATATACTCTTTTTTTTTGTATGAAAAATTAAAATATACTTAAAGATAAGTTGTTTCTCCAAAAAGTTAATTATTTAGAAATAAAGGATTGGAGACTTTTGGAGAAGTCTAACGTGCTCTTAAAAGATTCTCCAAAAAGTTAATTATGTAGAAACAATACAAACATCTACTTTAACAAACGTGCTCTTAAAAGATTCTCCAAAAAGTTAATTATGTAGAAACAATACAAACATCTACTTTAACAAACGTGCTCTTAAAAGATTCTCCAAAAAGTTAATTATGTAGAAACAAAGGATTGGAGACCTTTGGAGATATCTATTTAAAAGACTTTTTCACTAGTGCTCCCAAACTAGCACTAAACCTGCATGAGAACAAATATAATTATCTTCTCTCTAATTATTACACAAGGGAAATAGCTGGAATGCTAAAGTACAGTATTCTCTATCTGCCAAAGCTTCTCATGGACTATTCAAGATAAACTCTCTATGACTCTTATCTCTATATACACCCAAGCTTTCTCCTTTATTTCACAAACATACAATTGAACTTGAACACTTATACACTATATATATATATATATATATATAAAAGTANATGCAGCAAAAGTTTTAGGAACACGTCGCCAAGCAATTATGATGAATCATCGAACCTTCCCGGTCCAACGTCTCCTTCACGGCCCGATACAACTCCACCCACGAACAAGACGGGCTTTCAACCGGGCCCCACAAGAATGTCGGATTTGGGCTGGCAGGGCAAGCGGCCACCAAGTCCAAAACAGAAGCTGCGGGCTTCAATCTCTGTGGAAAATTGAACGCCAAGTTATCGACTTTGTGCTCGTAAATTTTTCCGTGTCTGTCCAGTTTGTACCTCGACGTGCCTTGAAATTGGCCTTTTGCTTCCCACGGAACCCTGGGGACTCCAGTTAGGTTCCATCGAATTAGAATTATTGTCTCGGATGGCTGCCAGACTCGTAGCACGTCGAGAGATATATCTCGGAATAAGATTTTCCCGTGAAATCTTAATGCCCAGAATATTAGTTTGTAGTTTGAGATGCCGGAAAATGTGTTCAACGGGTCCTTGAATGTTATATCATCCCTTGCCAATCAAACATGAAAGCAAAAAAAAATCAAATTACTAGATCATTTTTGTTCATTTACCTTTTTTCTAGTTTCTAGTTTCTACCCTAAACAAAACCATTTCTAACTCTCACCACAGTATGGTTGTGTACTCTTTACCCAGTTTCAGTGAATTTCACGGTGAACACCCGTAAAAATTGAAAAACCAAACATATAAGAATTGAAATGCACCGTATGTCATCTTAGAAAAAACTGAATTGAAATCGAACTAAAAATATTTTACACCAAGATAACCGAATTGAAAGGTACCGAAATGCAGAGTCTGGCTCGGTTTTTGTTTTGCCTCAGTTTTTCTATGCATTTATAGTTAATTTTGTGC